AGTTTGAGCTGATTCCGACTTCAATTTTTCAAGTTACGACCATTTTAAGAAAACACCAAAATCTGTACAGTGGAACCCCTCCCTACGGACACTCCTGAATTACGGACACCTTTGACTTACGGACAGCAGCTGTACAACGAAACGCCCTTCCTACTGTTGCTGTACAAAAGTCCCCCTAAAAAACGGACCCCCGAAAATACGGAATACAGACACTTTTAGAAAAACGGAATCCTCTTGAATGGACAGTGGGTGTGGTCCTGATGATCAATGGGTTAAAATAACAATTGATTTAGATCTAATCTTTGTTATAATGGCAATTATTATGCATTAGACTAGATATTATTATTATTTTTAAAAAATTACAAATCAATACATACTCAATGAATCCCATGATGCTGATGCCAGAGATGAAGAGGTAGGTGAGGAACAACAGCCATTAGTCCCATGTTGAAATCATTTGGAGAAGTGATCAAGTCCTTAGAGGATGTACAAGCTTACCTTGACCACAGAGGTTGTGCAGATTTAGCAATGGACACTGATATCCTCCTCAATAATTTTTAACTTTACGTCTTTCCTTTACGAGCAGCGCACAAACTGCACTTCTAGACTATTTTCATCCATAAGACCATGAAATAAACTAGACTCTACAATAATTAATAGAATTAATTGATTTAATAACTATTATTCACCACCCCTGATTTAAGGACACCCCTGAAATAAGGACATTTCAGTAGATCCCAATGTTGTCCTGAGTTAAGGGGTTCCACTGTATATGTTACCAATCACATGTAATTCATTCCAACAACGTGTTACAAGCCTCAGTAACAAGTAATGAATATCATAATAGTCCGACCCACGATAGCCTTGTAACGTTTTATGCATTTATAAAGAGACCAAGTAAAGGACAGCTCTAGGCTGTTGTTAGGTAATTTTTCCGAATCCTAAAATTTTTGAATGGGCAATTCACTGCAATTGCCCTGCTCTAATAGAATAATTAGTAATGTAATCAAAAAACACTGATCATTCTTTATGCTCCTTAGTATACATGTATGTTATTTTTAGTATATTCTAGTATATTCTTTGTATACTCTTGTATTCTCCTGTATACTAGCTGTCGGTGCTATTCCCAGTCCTTTTGATTGTTATTTGGCTAATCGTGGATTAAGGACACTCCACGTTCGTATGAGGGCTCACGCTGAGAATGCAATGACTGTGGCAAAGTATCTTGAATCATCACCATTAGTGGAGAACACCATTTACCCTGGTAATGAGTGGAACTAGTTTAAACTACTGTATAGCGGGAAATTTTGGAGGGAATTAAATTTGGCAAATTTGGCGTTTTGATAGCCATTCTCCAAAATAAACCTGCCATTTTGAGCCATTATATGCATGCTCAATGGCACGTGGCCACAAATTCGCCAAATTAAAAATCCACCAATCACCAAAAATTTAGCAATTCGCCAAATTTTAGCCCCTCCAAAATTACCCACTATACGGTACATGTACATGTAATAATTATGTTTAAAAATAATTATATTCAACTACATGTAATACCTAGGTATATAAACTACATATATAAACTATGGGAAAACTGCATGTAATATTATTGTATTATATTAATAATGTAATATATTGTGATTGTTGATATAAGAGATGCTTCAATAGTCAGATTGGGTTATTAGCCTCTTTCATAGTATCAGTTATTGGGGTTTTGTTAAAATTATGCTCTACAATTTTTCCTTCATTCTTTGCATTCTCAATAATAATTGCTTGGCTGTAAAATATTGCCGCTATAAAAACACACTCTAGATAATTACTATATTATTATTATTACTATTACCGATTTCCTTTTTCTTTCCTTAAGGTCTGCCCTCTCATCCTCAACACGAGTTAGCTAAGAAACAAGCCAAAGGATTCGGTGGTATGGTTTCCTTCAGAATAAAAGGAGATTCAAGCACTGCTAAAGCATTCTTCAAACATCTTAAGGTGAGACTATACATTATGTACTACTGTCATTGCATCTATTATATGTACATGTACATGTAGTACTGTACATGTGGTAATTTTTGAGGTATATTAAATTTCGTTATTTTCGTGCTCACCTTAAAGCTACAATATTTAAACCACCTCTAATCCCATTCTATTGTATGTAGACTTCGGCCAGAACACGAAAATTAGCTCACACGAATATTAATTTGTTGAG